TATCAGTATTAACTCTAAATGTAAATGGACTTAACTCTTCAATAAAAAGACACAGAGTTGCAGCCTGGATTAAGAAACAAAACCCAACCTTTTGCTGTCTCCAGGAAACACATTTAGCTACAAAAGATAAAAATAGGCTCAAAGTTAAAGGATGGAAAACAATCCTACAAGCAAATGGACCAAAAAAGAAAGCAGGAACAGCTATACTTATATCAGATAAAACAGATTTCAAACTCAAAAGATAAAAAGAGACCCCAATGGTCACTACATTATGATCAAGGGGACAATACTTCAAGAAGAAATAACACTCATTAACATATACTCACCAAACGAAGGAGCACCAAAATATATCAGACAACTGTTGTCCTCTCTGAAAACAGACATCAGAGAAAACACATACGTAGTGGGAGACCTCAACACACCACTATCAACAATGGATAGATCAACAAGACAAAAAATAAGTAAAGAAACCAAAGCTCTAAATAAGGACCTAGAGCAATTGGGCTTAACAGACATCTATAGGACACTAAACCCCAAAAAAACGGAGTACACGTTTTTCTCAAGCGCACACAGATCATTCTCCAGGATCGATCACATACTGGGGCACAAGACAAACATCAACAGATACACCAAGATTGAAATCATATCAACCATCTTTTCTGACCATGAAGGCATCAAACTAGAAATAAACCATAAAAAGAGGGCAAGGAACTTTCCTACCTCATGGAGATTAAAAACCACACTACTGGAAGACCACTGGACTAATGAGGACATCAAAGAAGAAATTAAAAAATTCTTTGAATTGAACGACAAGGAGGACACCAATATCGTAAATGTATGGGCTGCAGCAAAAGCAGTAATAAGAGGAAAATATATAGCAATAGAAGCTCACATCAAGAAACAAGAAAGAACTCAAAGAAACAACCTAATCTCGAAGCTCAAAGATCTAGAAAAAGAACAACAAAAAAACCCCCAAAACCAGTAGAAGAAAAGAAATAATAAAAACCAAAGCAGAAATAAATGAAATTGAAACTAAAAAAAACAATCCAAGAGATCAATGAAACCAAGAGCTGGTTCTTTGAAAAAATCAATAAAATAGACAAACCCCTAGCCAGGCTCACAAAGGAAAAAAGGGAAAAAGGACAAATAAACAGGATCATCAATGAAAGAGGAGAAATCACAACGGGCACAGCAGAAATCAAAAGAATAATCAGTAACTACTATGAACAGTTATATGGAAACAAGTTTAACAATCTAGAGGAGATGGACAAATCCTACAACTCTACAATCACCCAAAGCTAGATAAAGAAGAAATAGAACACCTAAACAGACCAATAACAAGCAGCGAAATTGAAATGGTAATCAAAAACCTCCCCAAAAACAAAAGCCCAGGACCTGATGGATTTACAAATGAATTCTACCAAACAATCAGAGACGAATTAGTGCCTGTCCTTCACAAACTCTTCCAAAAAATTGAGAAGGAAGGGACAATACCAAACACGTTCTATGAAGCCAACATTACACTAATACCAAAACCGAACAAGGACAACACAAAAAAGGAGAACTACACGCCAATCTCCCTAATGAACACTGATGCAAAAATCCTCAATAAAATTTTAGCTATCAGAATCCAACAATGTATCCATAAGATAATTCACCACGACCAAGTAAGATTCATTCCAGGGACACAAGGATGGTTTAACATCCGAAAATCAATCAATGTTATCCAACACATCAACAAAAAGAAATATAAAAACCATATGATAATATCAATAGATGCTGAGAAAGCTTTCGACAAAGTGCAACACCCATTCATGATAAAAGCCCTTGAAATTCTTGGGATACAAGGAACGTACCTCAACATCATAAAGGCCATCTATGACAAGCCAACAGCCAGTATCATTCTCAATGGTGAAAAGCTGAAAGCAATTCCATTAAGATCTGGAACAAGACAAGGATGTCCACTCTTACCACTGCTTTTCAATATAATACTGGAAGTCCTAGCCACAGCAATAAGACAAGAGAAAGACATCCAAGGAATCCAAATAGGAAAAGAAGAAGTCAAACTATCACTATTTGCAGATGATATGATAATATACAAAGAGAACCCAAAAAACTCCACAGAAAAACTAATTCAACTCATCAATCAGTTCAGCAAAGTGGCAGGATACAAAATCAACACGCAAAAGTCAGTAGCCTTCCTTTACACAAACAATAAATCTGAAGAAGAAGAAATCAAAAAAACCATCCCTTTTTTTATTGAAACAAAAAAAATCAAATATTTGGGAATAAATCTAACAAAAGAGGTAAAGGACCTATGCAAAGAAAACTATAAAACACTGTTAAAAGAAATAGAAGAAGACACAAAGAAATGGAAAGACATCCCCTGCTCATGGATTGGAAGAATAAACATTATTAAAATGGCCATCCTTCCAAAAGCAATATACAGATTCAATGCTATTCCAATCAAAATTTCAATGTCATTCTTCAAAGAAATAGAACAATTATTGATGAAATTCATATGGAATCACAAAAAACCCCGTATAGCCAAAGCACTCCTGAAAAAAAAAGAAGGGAATGGAGGCATCACACTCCCAGACTTCAAACTATACTACAAAGCCATAATCATCAAAACTGCATGGTATTGGAACAAGAACAGACACACAGACCAATGGAATCGAATAGAAAATCCAGAAATAAACCCACAGATTTATGGTCAACTAATCTTTGACAAAGGAGCAAAGACTATGCATTGGAGCAAAGAAAGTTTGTTCAATAAATGGTGCTGGGAAAACTGGGTCACTACATGCAAAAGAATGAAGCTTGACCACTACCTCACACCATACACAAAAATCAACTCAAAATGGATTAAAGAACTAGACATAAGACCTGAAACCATAAAATATATAGAAGGAAATATAGGCGAAACAGTATGTGATTTGCACATCAAAGACATCTTTACAGACACATCACCCAAAGCAGTGATAGTGAAGGCAAAGATAAACAGCTGGGACTACATCAAATTAAAGAGCTTCTGCACAGCAAAAGAGACAATAACAAAAACAAAGAGAAACCCCACCAACTGGGAGAACATTTTTGCACCCAACACTAATGATAAAGGACTGATCACAAAAATCTGCAAAGAGCTGATGAGACTCAACAACAACAAAGAAAATAACCCAGTCAAAAAATGGGCAGAAGAGCTAAAAAGAAACTTCTCTGAAGAGGAAATGCAAATGGCCAACAAGCATATGAAAAAATGTTCAACATCACTTGTCATCAGGGAAATGCAAATCAAAACTACCATGAGATACCATCTTATACCAGTGAGAATGGCACATATTAAAAAAACTAGCAACAACAAATGTTGGCAAGGGTGTGGAGAAAAAGGAACTCTCCTGCACTGTTGGTGGGAGTGCAAACTGGTCCAACCACTGTGGAGAGCTGTGTGGAGATTTCTGGACCTACTAAACATAGAGCTTCCATATGATCCAGCAATTCCACTCCTAGGTATTTACCCAAAGGACACAGAAACATCAATTCCAAAGAACACCTGCACCCCTATGCTTATAGCAGCACTGTTTACAATAGCTAAGCTTTGGAAACAACCCATATGCCCAAAAATAGATGACTGGATCAAGAAGATGTGGTACATATATACCATGGAATATTACTCAGCATTCAAAAAAGATAAACACATGCAATTTGCAGCAACATGGATGGCACTGGAAGGGATCATGCTCAGCGAAATAAGCCAAAAAGAAAAAGAAAAATACCGGATGGTCTCACTCATAGCAGGAATCTAGAAAACTGAAATAAGGGACCAGGAAAATGAATAACTATAAGAAAGTGAAAATCAAAATCAACAAAAAACTATGAACCAGAGACACTTTTAGGGGGGCGGGAGCGGGAAGGGAGGGATTGGGGTCAGAATGGGGGGGCTGCAATTGTATGGGGAATATAAAAATAAAATTTATTATTTAAAAAAAATCAATAAATAAAATAAAAAATAAATAAATAAATAAAAATAAAAAGTGTTTAAAGGTAAGTTGTGGATATCAATATGCTTTCTTGTAAATGCTAAAGCTTTAACATTATTAACTAGAGTTCAGTATTTCTTTTTTTTTTTTTTGATGTGAGACCTATGTGTGGTAAAATGCAGGAATTGTAAGCGTACCATTTGCTATGTAACTTAGAGCCCTATGATGGTATGGAATATTTGCATATTCTTGAAATGTTCCCATTCCCTTATCTAGTTGGTTCCTGCCTTCACTTCCAGTCCAGAGACTCCAAGCCCAGGCTTTTTATTGCCTGTGATTTTTGTGCTAGAATTTCAGACACTGATTATAATTCAGTGGTAGGAATATTTGGGAACTGCGAGCTTCATGATAATGTTTCTAATCACACAACTAATGTTGGAGCTTGGTGTAGTTTTTCCATAAGAAATTTTATAAATTTTACATTTTTCAAAAAATGTAATAACTATTTAGCTGCAACTAAACATTTAGTGAAGGCACAAAGAAGTGAGTGATCTAGTTCTCTCTGATTTGAAGGCATAGACAAGGATGGTCTCATCTTAAAGAAGACGATACCTGAGCTAGTATTGTGGAAGATAATTGGCGTTTGACAGGTATTAGTTGAGTAGGAGAAGGGGAAAGGACATTTCGGGTGAGCAGAGGCAAGGAGGAAGGAGGGAACTTGGCATGGCAGATGTGGTTTTGCTAGCATGGACCAAAGACTGCAGAAGATGAAGTTAGGATGGTAAGTGGGAAGACCTGGCAACCATGCAAATGACTTTGTTTTATTTTTGTATTGCGAGTCATTTAGAAGGTTTATTCATTTATGAAAGAGATTACACTCAAGTGATAGAAATTGTCAAGTATTGTTGTTAGATGGTCAAAGTTGTTTTATGGTCAAATGAGAAATGTATTTCATTTTATTAAACCATAATTTTATATTCATATTCTGACTCTCCCCTTTTCCTCTCTCTTAAATGACAGGTAGTGTGCCAGTTTTTGAAGGACCCCAGTGTATCAGATGTACAGATGCTGCAAAATATTTCCCAAGCTCTGAACATATATTACAATTATTCAGGCCAGGCAAAATGCCTGAATATGTCTGAGACAGCAACTAGCAGTCTGGGTTCTATGGGTTGGAGCTATCAGGTAAGTGTGAATGATTTCCCAAGTGGAACTTGCATTTCACTGATATGATTATACTGTAATTGAGAGTTTATAAGATTTTATTACCTAACCTGGATCCAAATTTGGACTCTGTTCCCTGACACTGTGGATGGATTATTCATTCATTCATTTGTTCATTCACTTATTCGTTCATCACCAAATATATTTTGAATATTTACCATGTCTAGGTACCCTCTAAGCTCCAAAGATAAAAAGATAAATAAGATAGGCAACTAAACTAATGTGACAGTAGGACTTGATGAGTCCTACAAAGGAAACATTTTATGGACACAGAAAAGAAAGGGAGCCTAACTTACATCTCTCTGATCCTCCATACCTTCATCCGTACAATGAAATTAATAATACTACTACTTTGGGGCCTCCCTGGTGGCGCAAGGGGTTAAGCACTGCACTATGAAGCAACCCGCAGCCTCTGCAGCACGAGTTCGATCCCCGGCCGGCCAGGGAGCAACCCACATGGTGCAGTAGACCTCTCCTGACTTGCCCGCTGCTCCCCTCAGTGGTGGATTTCAGTCAGTCTGCCTGTTCTGTTCCCCACTCTGTCTCTGGTAAATCCTCTCACCCCCAGCATCTCTGGCCTGTACCCCAGCTCTTGTATGCATAAATAAATCTTTAAAAAATAATAATAATAATACTTTGCCTTGAGAGCTTTTTTTGAGACTTGAGTGTGATAATGGAGAGAAAGCAGTTTACAAAGAAGGGACATATAGCCCTAACTTTTGTGACTTCTCAACTAAGCCTTTCCAGGAATAATGAGAGGTAGTATGACATAGAGGTCAACAGCAAGGACTCTGAAACCAGACTGCCTAAGTTCAAACCCTGACTTTGCTGTTTACTAGCTGTGTAACCTTAAACAATTTATTTAACCCCTGTGAGCCTCATTTTTTTCATTGCATTCTCTCCTGTATGTTTTTTCAGGCCTGCACAGAAATGGTCATGCCCTTTTGTTCTGATGGTTTCACTGACATGTTTGAACCTCATGAATGGAACTTGAAGGAATTTTCTGAGGAGTGTTTTAAACAGTGGCGAGTAAGACCGAGGCCTTCCTGGATCACTACTTTGTATGGAGGCAAAAATATCAGCTCACACACAAACATCATTTTCAGGTGAGTTTGGCCATGTGAGAGAAAAACTGTTCTTGAAGATGTTTGTGGGATAGATGAGATAATAGAAACAGGACAATGCTGAACAATAGAACAATACAGAATCCAACAGTGATATCTATCATGTTTCCCCACTCCATGAAAGACAGAGGATGTGGAGAAAAGATATGATTTTCTACTCAGTTACAATATATTTAAAGGCTTAGAAACAACAAAAAAATCAAAATGTTGAAAATAATTCTCCACAAAATGAAGTACCATCTTTTGTTTTCAGTTTGCCTTATTATTACTATTATTATTAATGATAATTTTTTATAGTATTTTTTCAAACAAAATCTTATCAAGTGCCCACTCTGTGCTGTTCTGTCACTATATGAGACACTATAAATAAATTACCTAATTGAATCTTAAACTGTGCAAACCTGTGAGCAGTGTTATAGTTTGTGTGTCCTCACTTGGGTGCTTATAAGCATAAGACACAGTTCAGACTCAGCATTTATTTACAAAGGATTTATTTACACAGAGGTTAGGGAAATAAGGAAATTGGGAGAAAGGAAAGTTACTAAGGCCACAAGTGGCCCTCTGTCCTGCCCCAGATCATATCTGTAGTGTCCAGTATTCCAAACCAAAAGTTGCTCATGTAAGATGGTGTCTCTTTGAGAGCCTGGACCAAGGTCAATTCATGGTGGCAGCTGGAGGTTGTCACAGATGACACTGCTGAAGCAGCACTGCAGCAACCAGTGGCATCTCTCTGGAGACCCAGTGGGCAGTGCCAGAGGCAGGAGCAACAAGAGATGGAGCTGGTGTGCCAGAGGCAGGAGTGGCAGGTAGGCAGCAGTGGCAGAGGATCAAAAGTGGCAGAGAGCTCTTAGAGGTGGCTAGAAACAGGTCAGCAGTGCTGGTTAGCACCAGTTAGCAGGTGGCAATGTAGAGAATCAAGCAGCCCTGGAAAGCTCTTTAAGAGGAAGTGCCAGAGTATAACTTTTTCAAAGGTGCTGGGCTCAAGCTAGCAGCACCTTTCAGCAGGCAATGCAGAAGTAGAGCCAGAGGCAGAAGCAGTGGTCAGTCAGGTAGCAGCAATTGATGTTTTCAGAGTGACAGTTGGAGAATTGAAGGCAAGAACTAAAGGTCTCAAAGATTTGAAGTAAAATTCTTCCCAGGAGAGAGTGTCTTGACTCTTAAGCAAAGGTCTCAATGACGCAAAGAGGTCTTACAGTCTGACATGAAGGTCTGAGTGTGCATCTGTCTGCTGCCTTGGCTTATATCTCTTTCAGGGTGCCCATGTCTCAAACCTGATTGATGGGTTTTCAAAACTGCAGGTTTCCAAACCGAAACCCACTCTGCGCCAGGGTCAGCCATCAAATCCAGCTCACACTGGTGAGCACCAGGGGCCCCTGCAGCGGAGCCAGGCATACTCTGCTGTACCCCTGATCCAGGAGCCACTGGGGTCCTTAGTGTTACAAATCCTTCTGTAGTTGTTAAGTTCCTTTTTCACTGAGGAGGAAAGTGAAGGTCACTATGTTCACTCATTTGCCAAAGCTATCCAACTTTTTTTTTTGTTGCTGAGTAGTAAGGCCAGATTTCAATTTTGGCCTGTCTGACTACAAAACCCATATTTGTTTTTCTATATTATACTGCTACTTAAGACATGACATATTTGGTATTGATTTTAAACGATACAAAGCCTGGAAGATGTCACAGTTCTTAGGTTCTTACCTTGTGTTCACAATTGCAAGACACAACTCAGCCTCAGAGAGATTGGGAAAATGGAGTTTCTAAGGCTACAAATGGCTGTCTTATGCAGTATAGTATCCACAATGTCCAATAGTCCAAATCAAAGTCTGCTCATGCAAGATGGTGGTGGCCTTCTGATGAGAGCCTGGTAAGCAGTGGAATAGGATCCAACTCAGGTTGGCAGCTGGAGGTGATCTGTCAGGAATAGCAATCCAAAGGCCTGCCTGGGCAGCGTGGGATGCAGCAGCCCCAGCAGGTGGTGCCTGAGGATCAGAAGTCGTGGGCAGCTCTTAAAAATGGCCAGCACAGGTCAGCAGTGCCTAAATAATGCTCATCAGCACTGGTCAGCAGGCAGCGTTGTTAGAGAACCACACACCAGTGTTAATAGCTCTTAGGGATGCCGGCATGAGGCAGTTCCAGGGGCCCAGAACCAGTGTACAGCTCTTTCAAAGACACTGGGCACAGGCCAGAAGTGCCAGTCTACAATCTATTTTGGAGTGAGGGCTGGAGGCAGGAGCAGCAGTCAGGCTGTAGTTTGCAGTACGATGCCCTGAGTCTGAAAGAATCTGTCTGAAGGCCTCTGAAACCTTGTCTTATATCCCCTTCAGGGTTTCTGGCTTTGAAGCCTGATTGATCCATTTACAATTCCAGCTCTGTTTTCAAGACTTGATTGGTACTGGGAGAGCTCAGATCTGGTTGATCTGTTCACAATACCTGAATGGTCTCAAAATCTTGACTGGTGGTGGCTGGAACTTGAACCTGATTAGTCCACTGGGAGCTTGAACTTGATTAGGCCGTGGGCAATTTCAGTGTGGTATTCAAAAACTGAAACCTCACCAGCTTATCCAAACCTAATCTGTGCTGATGTGGGCCGCAAAATGGAGTTGGGCAGGGAAACTCTGCTGCATCTGAATGGTGCCGTGAGAGGCTCCCACTGGGGCAGAGCTGGTCAAGTGCTGCCACTGCTGGAGCCACAAGACTGGCCTGAGGGCTGCATGCTGAGCTCGGCCTCTCTCTATGGTTAGCTTTGGGATGGGGCAAGTTTTGCAGCAGGTGCCTTGGGGGCTCCTCTGCCATCCCCATGTAGTATTTATATGGCTGTATTTAAGTTTTAAGCTCATTCTTCCTTGTTTTGACCTTACAAATCTGAAGGTCAAGTTGAATTGTAAAGTGGAGTCTTTAAATCCTTCAATGAAGGTTTTAATGAGTTTTCACCAGATATATTATCCTTTTTTTTTTTTTTTTTTAAATAAAACTGTTACAGGGCAGGGAGAGAGTCACCCCAGAACTCCCAAACCTGCCTGCTCTAAATAGGTTCTGCCATCCACCGCATCAAGACAAAACATATAAGACCTTTAATTGAAAGAGACTTGACTTTAATATAATTAGTGTTCAATGCAGAAAAGACAAAGAATATAGTTTCCAAATCAGTACCCAAAGTTACCCGACCCCTCGTGGGTAAATGTCCAGCCAAACAGGCTTGGCCCAAAGCAAGGCCTGAAAACCTGCCACAAGCCTAAAGCACCTTCCGGCGGGGACCCATAAAGAACAGTCAGACAAGTCTGGGAGGAAAAGAGCAAAATCAAAATCAAGATAAAAGCGTCCATTATTAACCTCCTTACGGGTCTCTCACCCACATCTGTGTCACCTAGCCCAGGACCCAGAAGCAAGTGCAGCTTCTTCACAGGTCTCTCTGCTCCATGTGCCTCCTCCAGGTCTTCTTCTGGCTCCATCCTGCTTCCTTCCTTCACCAGTTCTTCTCTAGCTTCTTTTCTTCCCTGCTCATCTCCATCCTCCCTTGGGTGGGACAAGGAACCTGGAACTTCCCCTTTCCCTGGGGACCACCCTATTACATTACCGTTACAACTGAGAAAATTAATTATCCATTTGCCCTCAAATTATTTTCCTGAGGTTATCAAAGATCATGATCATTATTGGGGAGGGGGCAAATTTTTTTTTATAACTTTTTTTAAAAAAGATTTATTAATTTATTTATACAAGCACTGGGTACAGTCAGAAGTGGGGGAGGGTGAGAGAATTCACCAGAGCTAGAGTGGGGAACAGAACAGGCAGACTGACGAAGTACACTGCTGAGGGGAGCAGCGGGCAGCAGGAGAGGTCTGCACGCCATGTGGGACCCTCGCCCGGCGGCTGGGGATCGAACTGGTGCTGCAGAGGCTGCGGGCAGCTTCACAACCCAGCGCTCAACTGCTGCGCCATGGGGGAGGCCCGAGGGGGCAAATTTTGTGAGTAAAGTTTGGGGAATAGAATTGAAGCCAGTAGGTATTAGAGATATTTACCTCACTGCAAGAAAAGACTTTCTAACAGAACTGTGCAAAAGTAGAATAAGCCATCTTAAATTACTTAAGCTCTTTGATCCTTAGTTTTCTCTTCTATAAAATAAGAATAATAAGCTCTCTCATGCTATTGCGTTGTTGTGATACTTGAAAGAATTAACCCAGTGAAATACTTTTAGACCTGGCAAATTTATATGTTCAAAAAAATTTGTTGAATGAAATAAATGGAAGTATACTCTCTGTCTTGTACCTTCCATCCTAATCACAGGGAATTATTTATCCCCGAATGTCCTTTCTCATCTTTTCCTTCTTAAGACTTGGACATTTCCTAAGAAACCTACCCTGAATCCTCAAGGGAGGTTAGATTCCCCCACCTCCTTACTTATTCTAGGGCCTGTGATTGTCACCTAGTACTCTATGTGGAAACTATCTGCTTGTGTTTCTATTTGATCCATGATATTGTGCCCTTTTCAGTGACATTCACTTTGTCACCATCATCTCTGGCAAGCACCTGCTATAGTGACTGGCACGTACTGGATGCCCAATGAGTATGTGTGTTCAGAAGGAGAAGGAGGAATGAAGTACAAAAGGAGTCTTCAAAAGGATGTGACAGGTTACAAGCTGGCCTATGTGACAAGGCTGGGTAATATTGCTGTACTGGAAGTTTATTTTTAAAAAGAAATTTTTTTTTAAAGATTTATTTATTTATACAAGCACTGGGTACAGTCAAAAGCACAGGAGGGTGAGAGAATTCACCAGAGCCAGAGCGGGGAACAGAACAGGCAAACTGACGAAACACACTGCTGAGGGGAGCAGTGGGTGGCAGGAAAGGTCGTGTGCCATGTGGGACCCTCACCGGTGGCCAGGGATTGAACCGGTGCTGCAGAGGCTGCGGGCAGCTTCGCAGCCCAGCGCTCACCCACTGTACCACAGGGGAGACCCTAAAAAGAAATTTTGTTTATGCTGCTAGGT